TCCTACTCCACATATTTACAAAAAGTAAAACACAAAGAGTAAATCTCTACAGTATGAATACCATTACTGATATGCTATTTGTTTCTCTATGGACCCATTATCTATGACCCATTTTTGTATGACTTCATTTTTCTATGACTTCATAGAAGAAAATACCTAACAATAATCTTGCCCTTACAGAACAAACTGACTCAAAATTTTGAACAAATATAAACTATTCTGTTCTGGGCAACCACAGAATCAATGTAAACAGTATGCTTGCTCATGCAGTATGACAATGTAAAGTAAGGTTTAATGCTCACATATTTTTCCAGATAATCAAGCTTAATAAATATGTACAATAAGAAGTCAATCAAGGGCCAGGAATTTAGCTCAGTGGTTCTGCCACCTGCCTCACAAGTGCAAGGTCCTAAGTTTGATCTCCGGTACCAAAAAAAAAAAAGAATCAATTAAATTCATTTTCTTTGGCATAATGAACACATATGCCACCATCACCCTGTGTATCCTCATTGCAACCGTCTGAAAACTGGACTGAGGCAATTAGAAAAATTTTAAATAAAATTTGGTAACATATTATCATACTTAAATCATACTTAAGTATTGTATTGTGATGAGCCATTCATTTCTTAATCTTTCAACAGATTAATCGGAATGCTCCCTTTCAGTGGCAGGTACAATACCTTTGAGAGACCATTGGTTCAAAAAGAGAATCTCCCACCGTCAGAAAACACCGATTAAAGACAGTGCTGGGCAGGATGTCATCCTGGCTCACTGGGATGCTATACTGCAGTGAGGTGACACAAAATCACTTTGTACGTTTTATATCCAGGACTGACTCTGGCATCTTTATTGTATTACTATTACGAGTTGTACTTAATGAACAAATTTGGAAAGGGGTTCGGGCTAAATTTGGATTAATTATCATTTGCTTAATTCTCCTAAAAGGAGGGAATGAGAGATTGGTGAACTGGCTTCCTAGAAAGTGGTTTCTTTTCCACCAAAGAAAGACAGCAATAGTAATTCCCACCACAATTAAATTCTCACAACTCAGTCTGCATTTGCCTCTTATACATTTGGACACAATTATTTTTAAAAATCAGACCCACCTGGACCTCAATCTCCTAGACAGTACAGTTCTTTTAACAAATGAATAGCTAAACGGTTGGGAAGGGGAGGAGATGAAGAACGTACAGGAGTTTTTCAGATTGCAGTTAAGTTTTGAGATTTAGTGCACTGGGTGCCAAGCTAAAATTCATTTAGACCGATTCTTCACAGGTTATATGAAAGACAGGGGCCAAGACAAATACAAAGGAGATGTAAGGCTGGGGATTTAGCTCAGTGGTTCCGCCTCTTGCCTTGCAAGCACAAAGACCTGAATTCAATCCCCGGTACCAAAAAAAAAAAACAAAACAAAAACAAACCAAAACAAAACAAAGGAGATGTAAAAGAAACATAAAAGACTACAATATAAAGTACTCTAAATATTAAATGTAAAGGAAAATTATGTATTATATTATTTCACCTTTTCACAGAAAAGGTGAAAGTCTAAAGTCATGAATATAAGTCACCAGCTTCCAGGTTTGGTATATTTAATAATAATAACAACAATTACAATTTAAATAAATATACACTATGTACCAAAGACAGGACCGGGCCCATCTGTTCTACAAAGTTTTGCCTATGTTTAGCAAAGGAGAAACTGAGGTCCCAAATATAACTCCAGGTGAAAAAGCCAGAAGGTAGATTTAAGAAGGTTCCACCTGAAAATCTGTAAACTTCCTTCCATATCCTTTACTCTCTACAAAACTAAATACAGTCAATTCTTGATCCTATGTGAAGATTCTATTATTTGGAAAAATGCCCACTGACTAAAATTTACTCGAGGTTCCAAAATCAATACTCACAGGGCTTTTGCACTATTCAGACTCACGCACAGCAGCAGGAAACCTGTCTGACACCTGTGTGTTTCCAGCAGCAGTCACCAAGGCGAGTCTGCCTCCTGCTCTCAGGCTCTCACACTGCGAACAGGGGTCCTTTCTGTGGCCTGTCTGGTGCCAGGTTTCCTGCACTCGGATGCTGTCTGTTGGTGATTTCACTGTCTCAAATGGCCCCCAGTACGATGCGGGGAAGTGCAGTCAGAATTCAGCAAGTGCAAGAGGGCTGTGGGGTGTTGCGTGGAGACACACTTGTTAGGGAAGCTGGGCTCATGCCCCAGTTATGGTGCCAGTGGACAGGAGCCCAATGTTAACAAGCCAAGAATGTACAGAGAATGTCTTCAAACACAGACATCCATAAGACAAGGTCATGTACTCATCGACTGATGAAAATGCGGAGACCAGAGGCTCGGGAGACCCTATCCCTGTCACTCTCACAGGGACAGGGGTTTGGCACCCCTAACCCCATGTCCGCAAGGACGGCACAGAACACAGCTATCGCCAATTAGGAGAACTGATTGCACCTCTGCTGCAAACATTTCCCCGGGGAACTGGAACGTGCTACCTCAGGAAAAGATTTTCCTGCTGTCATTTCCTCCCTGGATACCACATTATCACGTGTATGCAGGCCTCACATCCGTTTCAGAAAAAGAAACCTGCTTTTGCCATTCTGTTTAATGGGTTGCTGCTACATGTGTTTGAATTTGCTCAGAAAATTAATCTCCCTTAAAAAGCAACTTGGCCTTGCACTGTGAAACTCTAATATAAATAAATGGCTTCTGAGCAGAAATCATGAATATTGTTGAAATGTCATTGTTTTGTGAGATTATGATTCTTATATTAGTCACACATAATGTAAGCAGAAGCAACAAACATTTCGCACAGGAAATCAGAAAAATATCAGCACAAACTGGAACTCTTACCTTTCTTGTCCAAGTCAGAGATTTTATTGAAGAAAAAAACTTACAGTACTTTAAAATTCAAACAAGGACAATTCAGGGTTCAAAGAAAGAAAACCTGAAGGAGTCCATTGTCTTCAGCAAAATTTTGAATACAGAAAACAAAACAAAACAAGAACACAGAGCAGGAAAACAGTTTGTGGCCTAATGGATTAGGCCATGATAAACACACACATATACAGCATATCTCCACCAAGTGAATCTTAATCACCTTTTTACAGTTTCAAGTGGGAAGGCAGCTGTTAGTACGGTTAAGCCATGTGTCATCAACACCATGAAGCTCACCTATCAGTTGTAATAGCTTCTATAAAATACCACAGTGAGATTGCAATAAGCCTAGAAAATGGGCTACAAATCCCAGCTATACTCAAGCAAGCAATGAACCAAAAATAAAAATAGGTAAAATTGAACCAAGAACTAGATAGCATTCATCTAGATTCATGATTAGTAAGGCAAAGTTCAAAGGCCAAGGTTTTAAAGTGACTTATTCAGATATGAAAGACAGTCATTATACAAAATAAAAGCATTCAGGTAATGGAGAAGAAAACATCAATTTTCACTACAAAGACATAGCACAAACAAGCTTACTTACAATTTCTAAACACCACATTATCATTTTCTTATTACCATTTAATAAATATGCAAAAGTAAAGAGACTCAAAGTTGCACTTTTTCATTTTTAATCTCTCCAGTTAGATATGCAATCTAAAAGGAGATGTGACACATTCCTGCTTAATATATTTGTTGAATAAAATCTTTCAGATTGCAATAACTTTACTTAAAGGCAATGTCAACTTTAAGTTTCTATTCCAATCTTGGTTAAGTCATCATTAAATGCTGAGTTAACAATCCATACAATATAAAAATACACATATTAAATCACATTGACTTCATCAATTCTTGGAACTCAATAAAAATATTCATTGTTTTAATATAACCACTGTAAGGACTCAGATGGCCTGAGCTTAGCAGTGGTGACTACCACCAACAGAAACGTGACATTGCCCCCGCCCCTCACTGGTAGAAATGAGCTCACGGGACACGTGATCTGCCATTCTAAGAGGAGCAAGCAGCCTTGCTCTGAGCAATGACAATGTGATTCAAAGTCACACGGCGTTTGTTAAAATGCCAAGTTTCACATGATTTCGTTAAACTCTATGCCAAAATAAAAGTTGTGATACATTTCAGATATCTCACAAAACATGCTTTAAAAGGTAATAGCAAATGATTCGATTAGGGCAGGCTAGGGATTACTGTGACTAGTTTGGGAGTAGGATGACTTCTCCAGTACAATAGAATCTATACTATAAAATACAATGGGATTGCAGTACAGAGCAGTTTATCCAAGTAGAAAGGAAACTGAACAAAATACAAACTCCAGCAAAGATTAATAACCTTACCTATTACCTATCCTAGCCCTTGTTAAAATACCCTGAGTAAAATGCAGATATTATAAATAATGCTGGTTATGGACAATTTCTCTAAAAACGATGATATATGTCAATACATCATGGTTTTTATTTACAACAGTCAGATATATAAAAATTAATTCTTAACCAGTCACAATATAAACATTAAGGAATACTTAGGCTAAATCTGGAAGTTTTTCATTGTCTAGCTTTTGTTAGCATTTTGGCAAAGCAAATAATACATAAGTGGATTCATTGTAAAACAAAAATCATAAAAGAAAAAGATATAAAGTTTACAGTAGTTTCTATCCACCCTGGGCCAACCTAGATCTCTACATGGCCTCCCCAGTCAGGCTCACTTCTGACTACAAGGAAGAGTACCAGTCCTCCAGCCAAAACAGCCCCATCTCTGCACCAAAGAGGCTCTCACTTCAATGACATCCCTCCAGGGAAGAGGACAGGAGCCAGGTTCCCTCGAATCTCATTCCCCAGATGTTCAAAACGTAACTAATTTATTAGCATTAGAAGATTTGGTTTATAGGGGAATCTCACTGGTCCAGTTTGTAGCCTACAAAAAAATGGATTTTTTTAAGTATAACATTAGAATATCAATAAAGAATGAGGGTGTGGCTTTTTATTCCATAGAATGGAAACATTTCCAAACATGAGAATTCAATATAAAAGAAAAGCATGCCTACCATTGAAGTTGGGGTCCCTCCAGATTTTTTAATATTCTTTGAAGACATTCCTTGAAGGCGACTGAGTCTAGCTTGGAAACCTGCAATATTAAAGCACTCAATTTAGGAGGTGCTGCAATCACTGGGCACAGAAGAAGATCCTATCAATAGAGAATTAAGAGTTCATTCACGGTGAAGAGGAATGCTATGAATACTGCTGGGGAAAATGCAAAGCTCACACTTAACAAAATGGCAGCCCTACTTGCCAGAGTGCTAATGCAGTCAGCACTGTGCTCACTAGTGTTTAGACCTCAAGGAGGAGCAGTAGCCCAGGTCTCTCTCCAATCCGCGTGAGCCCCGCAGAGGAAGCCAGTTGGTTTCTGTAAGAGCCAGGTTAGGGTCTGGCATGGTTCCTCATACCACTAGTGCTCACACTCTCCGACTCCATCTCGGCCTGTCTTTCTCAGTGACTATACCAAGGCTGACCACCAGCTCATGGACACACAGCTTAGGAAGCACTACTGACCTCTTCTCCCCGGATGCGACATAAGGGGCAAAGAACCAGTTAAGATACTTTGAAAGACGGGATCTGGGAGATTTTCGTCCAGCTCTTTGAGGTCTTCCTTCTCCCACCAGGGCACTACACCAGCGATGCCACAGGCTCCGCCCGACTCCTTCTCATAGAACCAGTCACTCTGCTCATCATCGCCTGGGAAAAGAGGAAAAGTCCCCGAGTCAGTGCGATCACGCACACAAGTGATTCGGGTTGTGAGTCAAAAAAGCACAAGACACGAGCGCAATCTGTATGGCTGGTAAAAGGTTCACTGCTACTGTAAATACACAACACTTGTCTTGAATTTTTAGCGTAGGACCAAATACTGCATGGGACGTGGTCGTACTAAAACTCTGTCACTTAGCTACAATTCACATTTAACTGGGGATCCTATATTTTCTTTGCAACCACATCTATAAAACAGAAACACAACTTTTTACGGGACACTACAGCTTCACTGGAGAAATGTTCTCTAATACTATGACAGGCACTGCCACCAACAAAATCACAGAATGCTACGCTTTCTAACCATTTTAAAAATTAAGAAAACAATAATTAACTCAGTAAAAGTTTCAGGGAAATCCACTTACATTACTTCCCTTTCCACATTAAGAAAAATTAATGCTTAATAGTCTACCAGGAATTACAAAATAGGAAACTGTGGAATCCATTCTTTGTAGCTGATAACGGTATATAATTAGCTTAATTTCATGATTTGTAGGGAGTGGGAAAGGGGATACAAGCATGAACAGATGCGACTAAATGAAATAATCCAATAAAGTTCATTAAGAAATAGTTTTGAAAAAGTTGATTTTAAATGAAAAGTGACAATAATGGAGCTTATGAAGAAACTATGTTGAACTATTATAAGCAAGGCATTTTTAAAAAAGACCATTATTCAGTGAGGTTGACGTTTGAGAATATTTACAAGTGTAACCAATAAATAATCAACTTAAAATTCAATTTGACATGGGCTCTTGGTGAAAACCAACATTTAGTTAAAGAAAGAATTATTAAAACCTATTTAGAGATAAAAATATAGAATGCAGTTGCCTTTTTAAAATGAGACAAACTGCGTTTGAATAGGATCAGTGTGAGTCACTGCGGTCTTTCACTCTTCTTAGAAGCCACTGCCAAAATAGTGCCATACACTTTCCCCTTAGAGAAGATTTCTGATTCTGAAAACCTTTTACTACTACGCAATCCTTAAAGGCAAAATGAAATACCTCATGTATCAAGTGAAAATGATTTTATTGAAAATAGCTGTATTTAGAATAAAGAAGGAATGAAAAAACCAAAAGCAATCGTAAAACTAGGGTTACAGCTTCTTTCAACTGAAGGGTTAATAATAATAAATTTCTAAAATAGCATAATTCTTTTTTTATTTTTTGGTGTTTTTGAGACAGGGTCTCACTATGTAGTTGAGACTGACCTGGAACTCACTGTGTAGCTCAGGCTGGTCTCCAACTCACAGCGATCTTCCTGTCTCAGCCTTCTGAGTGCTGGGATTACAGGCGTGTGCCACCACGCCCGGCCTAGCATAATTCTTGAACATAATAAAAAAACAGGGAGTCACTTGAAACCAACTACCCTATAGCATAATTCCCATTAAGAAAACACTACTCTAGAAAAGTGGAGGTTTTCTTTCTTCTATTTTTTTTCAATCTGCTGTATAACTTTACTGTCAAAGAGGGAATCAAACAGCTACTGATTAGGAACTCAAGCAGGGTCAGACAAACCAAGTGAATGCTACTCTCCTGTAACTTTGAGACAATTACTTCAACTGTATTAACATAGATTTACTCATTCAAAATAACTGGGGAACTCAAGGGCTTTTAGGGAACAAAATAACAAATCAAGTTAATAAAAAAAAAGCCCATAGCAGCATGGAATATAGTAAGTGCATAAGAAATGGCAGTGTTTCAGTCTAATTCAAGCAACGCTTTCCAAAGATGGATGGATGAGCTTGTCAAAAAGTCACTTTAAAAAAATATTCATCAGTTCATTTCATTATTAATATCAATACTTACAATGCAACCTTAGCTAGAGACCTACATTTTAATGAGAATTTAGGTAGGTATATTCCCAAGTAAGCCTACTTGTACCACCAAGATTCTAACATAGTTCAGAAAAGTCACAACTTTGAAAAGTCTGCGGTTGGTGGGCATCTGGGCACTGCGGTGCTTGCTACTAGGCAGGCTGAAGTAGAAAGATAAAAAATTAAGGCTAGCCTGACTAACTGAGATCCTATCTCAAAGTAAAAAATAAAAAGGCCCTGACACGTATCTCAGGGGTAGCATGTCCCAGGGTTCAAAACCCAGAATTGGGGGCGGGGGAGTTGTGGTCTTTAAGCTATGTATCTACAAATCTAGGACAAAGTTTTATAAGTAAGCAAAAAAGAAATAATCATTTTCTCCACATTACTTATTCAGGATAGATAGAGAGACTGAGGAAAAAGTGTGGGTAGCTATTTGTCCTTCTTTTCATAACATCTTTAAATGAAGTTTAAAACAGTAAGTTTTTCTCTTAGAATTTAATGTTTTCCTTAATATATTCTTAAGAAAGGAAAATAACCTTTGTGATAAGCGTTTGTATGTATTAGCTTAAGTTCATGATTTGTCTGGAGTACAAAGGGGGAAACAGTCATGAGCACATGTCACTAAATGAAATTAATCCAATTAAGGATGAATTCTGTCATCTTGTTGGGGTTTGCATACTTTTCATTACTTCAAAATACAGCTGCATTAAAGTGTGAAAATCTTCAGAAAGTTTCAAAGAGAGAAAACATCTGAGATGTAAGATTTCTCTTGAGCAGTTTATAATACTGAATTCCTAAAAGTCATTTAGTCATGTACAAACTGAATAGTGTAAATAAATGTCACAGCTGAATAAAAAATGACAAGTGACTTGCAAATCCACCTTTATGAATGCTTAAAGTTTTAAACACACTTCAAGTCAGAGAAAATGGGAACCGGTGACTTGTGGACTTACTAAGAGACAAAACAGAAAAGGCTCAGGTATGTGAAACTTTCTCAGGGGAGATGATCCTTCCCTAGTATCGTCAGCACCACACACCCGATTCTGGAACTAATCAATCATGCTAGGTCGGAAGAAAGGACACCTTCCACAGCATGTAGAAAAGCCAGCCACAGTACTGACCCCAATCTGCTAAGCAGTATGTCATGTACACCGTGTATAGATCAACTTAGGAAATAACTGGTAATAAAGAGAATCTTAAAATGAAGACTTTTCCAAAGAGGAAAGAAAACAGTATTTCAGTACCTTGTCTTCCTTCATCATTGGTAAACAGACCAGCATCAGTGCTGCTGAGACTGCTGGAGTCACTGTAATAAGAAAAAAAGAAAAAGAAAAGGAAATAGATCAAAAGAACAATTGATCTCTCAGTTGTAAAATTTTAAAGAGACATGGCAGCCTTGAGCCTGACAAAGATCTGAAAGAAAATAAGATGATTTTTTTTTTAAATCAAACTGCAAATATCCTGATTCCATTAACTACAGAGCATATTATTTTTGGCACATAAAATCCTAGGAATCTAATGGGACCCTGACAGCAAGCCAGATGCGACTGCAACGAGGTGCTGACAGAATTGATGCATTTTATTACCCGCTCTCATCAAATGCTCACTGCTCCTTTTTTGTACTGTGCGATTCAGCGTGAGCCTGAAACACCACTGCTCAACAGAGAGTCGCCATCAAAAGCAGGTTCGGACTTTTTTCACCCCATGAAATACAAGGACCTAGGATGAGATGACTTTTCATCACCACATTTGCAGATAGTCTGGAAAAGATACACTGCACAAGGAAGGAAGAGTTTACAATGCAGACAATCCACTAAATCACAGCTAAGGTCACTCTGAGCAACAAAATGGGTTTTACTGAGGTATTCAGAAGATGTGCAAAAATCACGTAGATTCTCAATACTCCTCCCATGGAAGTTTGAGGCCATGGTGCAGATTCATGTTTTAACATGCAAATTAAAATAAATAGCAGACTTTCAACCAACGCGCAAACACTGTCTCTGTGAGCTCAAACAGAAGTTTATGTGACAGTCTAGTTAGCGTCAAATACCAAGAAAATACACACACATCACCAGAGGCTTGACCTCCAAAAGAGATGGAGCGATATTCTTCAAAGATTCTCATATACTCATATTACTTCTTACTGCAATTCTTAATTTTAACCAAGCAGGAAATTGGCCCAGGTGATTTTTTTTTTATATATTAAGATTTTTATTTCCATTAACAGAATAATACAACCTGACATTAAAAATGAGGCATCTTATCCTGTTTTAAAATATTTAAATTGAAATGATTACTGATAATATTGAAATGACATTTTCTGATTATAAAACATCAATTTTAAGTTTTTTTATTTTTTAAAAATCAGTATTACTATTAGTGAAAAAATCTAAGAATTTACCAAGAAGCACATTCCAAGGAGCTCTGAATTAGAATCTTTTTCTTAAACTTCGAATTAAGTGGAAATTCCCTATACTAAACAATGGTAATAAAGTAATATTTTTAAGGGTATTAAATCCATATCATCTTATTTACAAATGCATATGCTATTGTATGCATAGCAACATTAGATTATTAAACAGAAGTTTCAGAAACTTCAGCTGTCTACTATTTAGTTATTTAAGGTACCACCAACGTTTTCCCTGTTTTTCTTTTTCCTATTGTTGTGATCAACACAACTCAAATGCAGGTCTCTATACTTTCTCTTAAACCCTTAGGGAAAAATGTATTTAAAATTCAAAATTTCTCAAATTTTTAGAAAAGCATACTTGAAAATGCCTAGAGTAACCTAGGGTAGCACTTTGTAATCAAATCCATTGTATTTTTTAATTAAACAAATGCTTACGCACATTAAACATAGCTCAGGTTAAGTCTGGCCACAAGTTAGTTTTTCACAGCTTTTCAGTTTTGCAAACTGTGAATAAAGGTGCTATTTTTTCTTTTTTGGTACCATGATTTTCTGATTTACCCCGTGTAATCTATGCTACATGTAGCCAGGTTTACCTTTTCAAACTGTAAGTGGTTGACTAAAACAATGTGATACCCTGCAATAGATAAAAAGACTTTAAATAAAAGCAAAGGAAAGTCTCATAAACTACGAACTTTACTTAAGAAGTATATCCATAGTAGTTCATTATCTGTGTCAAAGGTTGTCACAGTGATGGCAACTCAACAATAGGAAACTGGAATGTAAGGACATGTGGTACACAGAACTCCCCAACTCTCTGCAATTTCTCTGTAAATTTAAAACTACATCAAAAGAGGAAAGTTCGTGAATTATACACATGCATAAGCACACACTGTAAAAGGCAATCTTCTATATAAAATTCTAAAATTATTACATTTGTTAGATTAAATTCTGATTTGAAGGCTTCTGATGGGTGTGTTTCCATTTAAATTCTTCCCAACTTCATCTCTACTTATTTGTTTATTCTGTCTCCAAGTGGTACGTTATCTCTTCTTTCCCCGACATGCCCACTGTCCCAAAGATACAGTGGACACTCAAGTTCTGACCGGCTTGACATACGAACAACTTGGGTTAGTTAGTTAACGGAAGATTCATCTGCCTCTTGTTATCTATAGTGTGTGCCCTGGTAAGCATCCAGATCTCAGCTGTACTGACTTACAACCAACTTGAGTTACAACCAGACCACCAGTTCGTAAGTCAAGGGTCCACTGTGAACAGAAATCAGTTTCCTCTCAGCCCAGCTTTAACGCCTTAAGGATCCTGTCTATCTTTGCGTTATTTTCACGGGTAGGCCCACGTCTCCTTACTCACATTCCACCTCCCTGACACCTCACTGACCGCGCAATATACAACTTGTACTTAGTGCCATGTTCAATAGATAAATCAGAACAAAAACTTAAACAAAAGGAAGGCTTCTCATCTTTAGCAGCTGATGATCATATGGTTTATCTCCTCTCCTTTCTTGTATAGTTTTCATAGTACAGTACACAGAATATATTCCATAAATGTTAGCTGCTTGAATGCAGGTACACGAATCCCAATCTTCTGGTTTTTCTATGACCTAGAGCTGTGCAACCCTGGGGACAGCGCCATCCCGGTCTCAGGCCGGCCACTAAGAACCGCTCTCAGCGCTTCTCCCCACCAGCATAGTGGAAGCTCCCTGCCACTCAGTGGATGAGATGGAAATCCAATCCAGTTCTTACACTGCTAAAGTTCCTTCACTGGCTTCTCCCTGCCTGAGTGATGAAACCAGCACCCAGGCCTCCGGGAAACTCTGACTGCCAGGCCGCAAGGTCCACAGCCCGCACTAGGCCTTGCACAGCCAGTTCCCTCAGCCTGGATGCACCATGGCCCTGTCCCTCTCCACCACTACCCTCTGCACGTATCGCAGCTGCTGCTTGGGGCACAGCTCCACGTGGAGCACCACCCGCCATTGCCTTCAGCCCTGCAATTCTGGTCTGTACCACAGCTGCCTAGGAGGGCTGGGGGCCATCAGAGCTTCAGCAAGTGAGTGCACACGGGGAACTGCATGTTAAGTCCCTCTGTCTCTCTCTCTCTCTCTCTCTCTCTCTCTCTCTCTCTCTCTCTCACACACACACAAACACACACACCACAAAGCAAGATGGTTCTCATGTACAAATCAGCTTCAAGAAGACAAGGAATGTTTTATAATAGCAAAACTTTGGGCAACAATTACACTCCTTAAGAAAAGACTGAATGTATTTAGCAATCTTCCCTCAGAGGGAAGCTGCCCAAAGTGGCAAAAGATGAGTAAATAAATACAAAAGTTTAAATCAGAGGAAATATGTATTTTTTACTTTATTCAAGCCTAAAAATATCCTCTTTAAAAATCAGGGCATGGATTGGGGGAGTAGCCTGATCATACTTGGCAGGTATTTTAAAAAATGTTTTTTGTTTTTACAGTGAAGAGAAATAAATGAAGGGGATTTATTATTATTTTTGTTCCAAGGGAGAAGCTGTAAGGTGCAGATCAATAAAAGGAAGAAATATAATAATAATAATAATAATAATAATAATAATAATAATAAAAGGAGGGACTTGAACATTCAGTTCAGAAAGCAAATAATCTAACTGAGAATAATCCAGAATTGAAACTATTGCCTGGGCCCCAACACACTCTCCCCCAGGAACTGAAAAAAATAATTATTTTTAAGTCAGCCTGAGTAGTCCTCAGCCACAATGGCCCATTACTAACATACAACTGATCATCATTCCCGAGTAAAAGTAGCAACTTTCTTGAAAGAAAAGCAGGTACCATTTTTCAATTCCTTCCAGAAATATGTTTTTATCTTAAGTATATCTTACTTCTTTAGAAAAGTTACATGACTAGGAAATTGTGTCTAATAAAAGAGTCATTCTATAAACTCTACCTGGTCCTAATCATACCTGTGATAATATTTATAAGCAAAACAAAACAAAGTGAAAATATCCTACAACCCACACAATTAAAATAACCCCAATCCTACAATCAAAAATGGAATACTACTTCTCGTTCCACTTATAAGGATTTTTTTTTTCCTGGCTCATGGCTGTATGTTTGGTTTTAAGGACACACATCTAAAAGAATGAGGGGTAAGTATCTTCTCATTTCCTGCAAGTACCACCCAATCTATGTGAAAATAAAATGATCACTTACCTTTCAGGGCTGTCAAAATAGTACTTAACGAGTATCACAGTGGTCCACCTGCTTCCTAGAATGGATTAGACTATTTGCCAATGGATCATTTCTTCTTCCAATTTTCTAACAAAATCGGGTGTTTCTAGACCATAAATTGGGCCTTACAATTCATAAGTGAACAGAATTCCTACTAAACTACAGGTATTTTAAGAATATCAAGCTACATATATGTTAAAGACGTATAAATTTTTGATCCTCAGGTATCAGAATAGACTAACAAATTGTGTATTCTACAAAGCACCAAAGGCTAAAGCTCTCTAATTAAACAAATAAATAATTACACATCCAAGGCAAAGAGTTACAAATGTGCCGCTGTTCAAAAGAACATTCTTTCCCACTGAAAATCTATTTGCTTTTCTTTTTGTAGCTGAAAATTAAGTCATTATAACACAATCAAAAGACTTTCTGTAAATCAAATAAGCAATTTTGCTTTGTGCAAAAACATCATAAATTTTAAGGAAATATAACCATGGCTAAACTGCAATAGCACTATCATTATTATAATTTATCATTATTTATTTAAATTGAATTAATAAAAATAATATAAAACACATTCAACTTCAAATGCTGTGGACAAACACTTCTGTACATAGAAAGCATGAAATACCTTCCACTCACCTTTCGCTCATGAGCTCATCCAAAACCTTTTGCTCTTCGTAACCCATCTTGTCTTTATTGGTCTGGTTCATTTCCTCACTTTCTAACACTACGCCTTCATCTTGTGTCTTTGGTCCTTGCCTGATTGTTCTCAACTTCCTCTTCCTCCCTTTGCTCTTGGTGAACTCTTGATACTGGTAGGCTCTGTCGTGGTCCATGTCCTGATCTCTACAGCCCTCGGGAGGCTGGGTCATGGCCCGTTTGCTAGAGATGTCCTGCGGGATGTCCACTGCCATGCGCTTTACTTTCCTCCTCCTGCGAAGAGTCCTGGTCCCCAGGTTGTCAACAGCAAAGTCAGGCTCCTGCCACAGCGCTCTCTTCCCTCGGACGTTACTGCTTAGGTTTGAGGATGGCCTACGCTTGGCCACTAACATGTGGTCATCAGAGTCACTGTGATCTTTTTTATTGTTATTGTGATTCTCTCGATAGTCCTTGCTGGGTTCTTCCAGACTAGAATCAGAGCCTTCGCTTAGGCAGTACCCAGCCTCCCACGGGTGGTGGACATTGTACGATCTCCGCTTCCGCCCTCTTCTTTTCCTGGCTTGGCGTTTCAGAGGGCAGGACAGACTTCGAGAGTGGTCTCCCGTCTCAGCAAACCCACCTCGGGCTTGCTCTGAGCTCTCCTCCAGGGCTGAGACCAGATCATGAACCAGCTCCTCCATGGTTCTACTGAAATGCCTACATGTTTCAGAGAAAACAAGTAAATCAAACTCACTCTTAGCTGCAGATATCTAGTATTTTACAGAAGACAATTTACTCTAAACTAAAAATGAATGGATGTTGCAAAATGCTTGAGTTTTGCCATTCAATGTGTTAGAAAATATAAATCACCTTTTGCTCCTGAGATCATCTGAGTGAGACCTTTTGTGCTTCATGATCCATTGTGTCTCTATTGATTCAAATATTCTAAATACTTTTGAAGCCTCTGCTTGTATGCTATTGTATTAAACACAAAAATTGCCACAAGATGGAGTAACCACAAGGCAGCTCAAAAGATTCCTGTGGTTTCATGTTTACTGTGTAATTATGGAAAAGCTCTGTTCCCTAATCTACTTCTGTTCTCTATTTGGAACCAATTTTCCTAGAGTGCACAGGAAAACACTGTCAGTCCACTCCCTACCCACTAATTTCTAAGTAAAGAAAGCAGCATGAAATCCACTTACCATGTGTTCTAAACCCAAACTTGCGACATAAGAAGCAGATAGATATGTTCAAGTAAAGAAAGTGCAACCACACTAGGAATACATTTTGGCCCTACTTTTCTCTTGAATCAGCGATGCATAAACTATGCTCGCATCAAAACTGCAGCTTCCCTGGCCTGAAAGGGGCATCGTCAGGACACAGGCCCACTGTGTCTGCAAGGCTGAGTATACTTGCTCTTGGGGGTCCTTTACTAAAGTCTATGGTTCTTTCCAACCCAGTGCACGAAGATTTTAGATTAGCAGTGCGATACAGAGCACAGGTATCTGACGTGGCTTTGCAAACATGACAAACAGGATATGCACCTTTCTTACGAAGTCCATGGGTGATGACTTTTCAAGTCAAGTTCTAGAGTCACTCATAGATCAAAATATTCTCAACACTCCTCCAGAGGCCTATAGTTTCTCATCTATAACACAAGTACACACACTTTTCCGCAAAGGTCCAACAATCAATATTTTAGGGCTTGTAGGCCAGTAGGGTCTCTCATTACTCAAATAGTCATTATAAAGCAAAAGCAGCCACAAGGAATACATAAATGAGTGAGTATGGCCGGTGGGCAGGCACAGTTTGCTGAACCTCGGGCTATGTGCTTTCTACAGTTAAACATCATCTTTATCATCTTTTGTTTCATGTGCCAGCAAGTGCTCTGTAGCAACCTGAAACTTTTTCTTTGCATTTAACAATATCCTAAAACCAAAGAGAGATTCAAATGGATTTACCAATTATAGTACGCACAGAGGAGTCCTATTTTCCAGGGCATTTCTAAGTGCATTATATATACAGTATTACCTCATTTCATTCTTACATGACAATGCTGAGGTGGCAGACAAAATGCGGACAGAGAGACAGCGTGACACACACCGATGGTGCGGACAGGATTCGAGTAGCAGCAATCTGGTTCAAGAGTGCCACACTCACACCCAGTAGCTACCCAGTTCTGGTGTCTGGTCGGTATTTTCATTACTTAGTACTGGGGACTCCTACTTTAATCACTGAGACAGATTTAACATATGTCTGTGTAAAAGCCAAGTGATTCACAGTTAGGTATTATATTATTTTGAGTGGAACAAGGGGGAAGGAAACCTAAAGCCACCCAAGGTGGCACAGGTGGTGAAAGTAAACTGAGCTCAGTGAACCAGCCCTTCAGTGGTTAGCAGAATGCGCATGTGGGCAAGTGCATACCACAGGGCTGCTTTTCAGTTAACACGGTTTTACACTTCCCAGATCTCTCTCCTTTGGCAACGTAAATGTAAAAACTAAAAGTCTAACTGGATTTATGACTCAAATATATGTCTTTTAAATAAAAGTCTGGAAGACAACAGAGATTCTTTTTTCCTTTATAAAGTTTCTACATATAATTCTGGCTTCAAACAGATTAGATTAAGACGTATGTATGTATCACATCTGAATTAGCATTAACCTCCAAAGGGGCTACATTTCTGACTACAGGGGGTCTTTTTCCCTTTACCTTCAGGGAAATAATGGCCTTCTGTTTCACATAGTGCAAGCAGCAATGTCAATAAATGCCAGAGATGCTTCACCAACATCTCTTAGGTAGACAGGTAACCACTGGCACACAGAAAAAGACCACAAGGGTCCATGACACGATCAATGGCAGCCTCCTGCTTTGGCAGTTGTACTGCAGCAACAGAAGACCACTGTCTTTAAATCATTTTTTCCTAAACATATGCAATTTCTAAACGAGACTTTTTATTGGACACACTGCAAATACAGAACTTCTCTGTACAAGTCTGTATATATTGAACATCCAGAGTTTTAATTTAAATTAAAGTAAATTCCATGAATTACCACGCAGCTAATTGGGATTTTTACATTCACATTGTTAAAAACAATTTCTTTTCATTTGAAACTCACGTGGAAATAAAATCTTTTGGAAACAATTGGCATTGGTTATAATGTCTAAAACAACAGTGCATTAATAGTTTACTCAAGATTATCCAAATGAATAGAATAGCCCTGAACAAAATTACAGTCCCTACAGTCCCCTTATTTATACAAAGTTGGATTCTATTTAAAGAATGTGAGCAGATTCTTTTCCAGTGCTATGAGATTATGTTGAGCAAGATGAAATGTGTGATGGATGCGAGACCTGAGATGCTAGTTTTAAGAATTGTTTGCCCCCAAATCAAGTTTGTTTGTTTGTCCGTCCCTAGGCAATACTAAACATTCAGCAAGTGAATGATTTGCTGTTGTTGGTTTCCTTACTACCAGGATCTAATCTTTTCAGCAAAGGGTTTTACTAAAAACGTATGCCAAAGAGTTAGGAAGATCAATGAATGAAGAAAACGTGGCATTGAGATTAGGAGTTTTCTCCAAATGTTTCTGTTTTAAGGCAGAATCCAGTCCTAACTAACTGCTTGTATCTATCTCTCCAAAGGCCTAGAACTAATTCAGTACAACTACTAAATATGTAGTTAAGGAAAGAAACCAAATATTATTCATCACTGAGTACGTGGTAAAATTCTTACCTTCGCCTCACTAAAACATGGATTATTTCTTCTACAAATTAAGTAATATTATTAGTGGAATACCAAATCTAAATTGCTAAGTACAACTTTGGTTGTCTTTCAAAATTTTAAGGAAAGAAATAATGATATCTGTGCTGGATTCTATATGAATACAAGCCAATATGCATAATAACATCATCCTAAAACAATACACAGTGAAGGCCAGTGTTAACATTTATCCTATGGCTACTCACAAACTTAAGGCATGGAATTTCACACTTCCATAGCATGTTAGTTTTTATTTATTTAAAATAGGAAAGGTCAGGTAGGAAAGGTTAGTCAGTTCAGAAAGTATTCAGTAAGGGCCGGGGATTTAGCTCAGCGGTTCAATGGCCTGCTTTGCCAGCACAAGAACCCAAGTTCAACCCCGGTACCAAAAAAAAAAAAAAAAGGTATTCAGTAAACAGGTGACCAACACACATTAAAATTAATACCTCACAGTACAGACAATGAAATGGGTGACTAACCTTGCAAATGGTAAAAAATTAAAGATGTCACATTCGGGGTTACATCTTATGACTAATTAAACACAACATGATCCATAAGAATTACCTTAAATTTGATGAAGACTTACCCATTCATTGGAATTTACAAATTTCCTCCCTTAATAGTATTACTATTTACCAAAATAATTCCTTATATCAACCTTCTAATTTATTAACTCTAGCTGGGGAGGAAGTTTTAAGAAATTAAAATAATCCTTACTGTAAATGTTAATACAAATTCCTTGACTTCTCTATGTAAACAAACTATTAATCAGAATTAATGCTTCTTTTTGAAAGAGGCAGTTTGGGATAAAGGGAAACTACCTTTTTCTGAAACATACAAATGACTAATTGTAATTTTGCATTAACACAAGACAATGAATGCGGAACAGAATTCTCTAAGAAAAAAGGTTAGGGGGAAACTATATAGAGAACGTGAGCTTTAGGACCAAAGCTATGGATTCGGAAGCTAAATTCTGTTACACTCACTAGCCATGGAACCTTGGACAATTAACTTATACTGCTTATTCATCATAAAAATAAGTACATTTTACACCATGAAGGGACTTGGTTGAGGATAAGAGTGGATACTTAATGTTGAGAGAAATTATTTCATCACTCAAAACCTCTACCTACAAACAAGAGAAACTGATCAACAAACAGCAAGCCCCGCAGCTTCCAAGGCGCAATCTCATGGTGAATCAGAGGTCATCATAAGCAGAGTCACAGGCCTCCAACCTTTCTAGGGCCACAAAACATTCTGATCTGGGGGTAGGGGGAGGCCAAGAGATAGATGCAAAATTCTTGCATATGATTTTATGGAGTGCCTAGACTCATTAAGGACTCTATCGAGCTTTAAAAAGTTCCAAAAATCCTAAGTTTAAAAACAAAAAAACCTAAGCCGCTCCTATCTTAATGTACAGATATTATGAGAAGGTAAAAGAGTAAAGAAATTAATTTTCCCAGTTAAGTCCCAAAGTTCTCTACCAAAAGAAAAATCATTTCCCATCCTGGGAGCAGACTTGTATTCCACTGTAGGTGCTGCTGGCAGCCACGACCTGTCACCTTTGCCAAAATTTTAAGACTTTCATCCAAAAACACCAAGTGCCAGATGCTATGGTTATACTATGGCACCATAAACAAGGGCAAAGTATGTGAAGAAGCAAAAAGACAGGCTCTTCAAGAGAACTCAAGGTTTCTCTACATGATAAAGAGGCACCTACCCATAATTTCGCTTGAGGTGGAAGGTAGAGCAGAAATTGAGAGGATCATGCTTTTTAATCAAATAATAACCTACCTACAAAGCACCATCACTGTAGTAAGGGGAAACCAAAATATCTAGCACATTTTGTCTCCCTCCTTTACCTAGACATTGGTGAATATTAAGAAAGATGAACTACAAAAGAAATAACGAGGGGTGGAAATGTTCTTTACCTTGTTTTATGTGGGCTACACAAGTATACAACTGCCAGAAGTGATACAACTGAGCACTTAAAAACTGTGCTTTTTATCGTACCCAAATCACACCATTCAAAAAATGTCTCATTTAAAAAAAAGTGCTCTCCAAGACCTGTCATGTAGAGGTACAAGATGCCAACAATGAATACAACTGTACTGTATCCCTAAAATGTACCAATAAACTCAATTAAAGCTGAAGAAAAAAAAAAAGTGCTCCCTAGCTGGGTGTAGTGGTGCACACCTGTAATCCCAGCACTCTGGAGGCTGAGGCAGGAGGATCACTGTGAGTTTGAGACCCGCCTGGGCTGCACAGTGAGTTCCAGGTCAGTCTCAACTACACAGTAAGACCCTGTCTCAAAAAACAAAAACAAAAGCAAAAAACAGTGCTCTCTACTTTTCATTTTTTAATAGAAAATGTGATAATTAAAAGTAGATTAACCACATCTACATTTATTATAAAACAATGATCTGATTCAACTCAAAGTAATCGGAACAAGATATTCTTTCAACTTTTCACTTGTAGGTGAACAGAAATTTTCTTTGTGATCACAGACTAATAGAATTTGGTATTTTCTACTTTCTGCAGAATCTAGGGATGAACATGTACTTTCAAGCAACATTTTTTCACCTTTGGTCAAAACTGTGGTTTAAGGATTGTCAGAAAATTTGCATGTTTATTTCACTGCTTCTCTTGCAGGAAAAAGGCCTGAACTCATCACAGAGTTTAAAATTAGAAAACTAAAAAAAGGAACAACTTCTATCTCTAAGATCAAACTTTCCTGGGTAAGTGTGGAGAAATTACTTAAGTATTCAGTGATCCTCTGGTGTCACTGGGCTGTCATGAGGAGAAAGTCTAACCTGTAAGCATTCTTACTAGTTAAAGCAGTCTATTACTCTGAAGTGGTACTGGAGATATGATACTGAGGGCGTGACCCAAATCCAACTTTAATCCTGGCCTATGTCCTTAGACAACACCCAACACAGCTGTGAACCAGAAAGGCACGTTCAAGACAGCGGAAAGCAGGTCGGTTACCCAAGTCACAGAAAGGGGAGTGCGGATCACAAATCTGTCTCTTCCGCTACCAAATTTCCAGAAATCTAGCTTTCTGAGATTTGAAGAAATTTAGTGTAATCTGGCAATTTTAGCGGGACGGTGAGGAGTAAAGCCTGGATCACGATAAACTACTCCTGACCCTGTGCTGCCAGCAATAGGGGTGTGGGGCCGGGGGGCCGAGAACTGCTTTGTAGTACAGAACGCTCGACTCCTAAGTACCCTAAGTGTTACACAAGCAATCGGCAGCCATTCACTGTATGCCTTCACACGTCTTTGGCACACACCAAACGCCTCCCTCGGGTCGCGTCCACGCCGGGAAGGATGGTGGCGCTCCGATCGGTTGGCGCCCGGCGGCCCCGAACATTAACGACACCCAGGAGCCTGGCCTGGAGGCTTAGGCCCGAGAACAGACTCCAACTACTACAGCCTCGGTGACTTCCACAGAGCGGTGCAGCATTTTGAGAAGAGCTTCCGGAAGCGGCCACGAGGCGGAAACCGGAAGCTGGACGCAACCATTACTTCCTCCCGCGCTCCGATCGGTTGGCGCCCGGCGGCCCCGAACATTAACGACACCCAGGAGCCTGGCCTGGAGGCTTAGGCCCGAGAACAGACTCCAACTACTACAGCCTCGGTGACTTCCACAGAGCGGTGCAGCATTTTGAGAAGAGCTTCCGGAAGCGGCCACGAGGCGGAAACCGGAAGCTGGACGCAACCATTACTTCCTCCCGCACTGCTTTCCTACTTTTAGTTTCCGCTTTTCTCTCATAAAAGAGACAAATAAAAATAAATTAAACCTTCCGCGGCTAAAAGTTCCTAATTCTATTTCTGGTATTCTTAAAACCTAATCGTCGTGGAAGAAAAGAAAAATTAAAAAGTGGACCCCCCCAAACTGGATAATGGTTCCGCCTAGTTGCCACGGAGACGAGAGCAACACCGGCGGAGAGCTAGGCCGGACTGCATGGCCACGTTAGCCCGGCTGCAGGCTCGCTCGAGTTTTATAGAAAATCAGTACTACTTTAGAAACAGGTAAGTCATGAAGAGAGAGCTTGCCGACGTGACTTGAGCCAGTTGTTCCTACGGGAGAGTTCCATGAAAAAAGCCTTTAATTCAGTAAATGGCTCCCCGTGCTCCCCCTAAGCCGCAGTAGACATAATTAGAAGTTTAAAAGAAGCTTTTTCGTGGGGGAGGGGGGTCAACTTAGAGAGAGGACGCAGAGACTCGGGTTGAAATAATTTAAGGAACGACCCAGCACTAGTTAAATTGTACAGTGATGTATTCTTCTTGGTCGTAACCACTGCTCAATTTGGTGCAGTCCATGCTGTCCCAGGCCTGGAAGGTTCAGTGCCTGACCAGGGTCTCTGGCCCCAGAGCTCCTGTGTCCCCTGCTGCCTAGGAATCGGAGCCTCCTTTAGGTCACAGACCCCTGGGAACTCTGTTGTTCTGTGACTCACTTGTGTTCTTAAAGTGAAAGTACCCATTCGGACAAGGTAACTAGTACCACTGTGTTAATTAGTAGAAGAGACCTAAGGAAGGTATGAGCAGCCTTCTCCATCTCCCTATGCCCAGTAAGCGGTTCACCGTAATAGTGGCCTGGACGTTTGTTTCCAACGTAGGAGAAACTGCAGCGAAGTAAATTAGACTGCGATACAGTGCAGAGATTTGGCGATCAGTGAAAAATAAGTCAACACGAAAATTTTTCTGAACAGTTACTTTAACATTTATCCCTCTACTATGTTGTGATTTCACCATTTGTTCTTTACAACTCTGGTCCAATTATATTTTTGTGAAATATTGTGTGTCCTTCCTTTTCAACTAGTAGGAAGACAACGTCTCTTTCTTTCTGACCATTATTTTAGACTCCACTGTATCTTAGTTCCTAACACATAGTAGCTGCACAGTAATTATTTGTTGAATGATTACCTTAAGGAATCTTTCAATCATTTGTTTTTAAGTAAACTTACTAAAAATAGCTAGAAATTCTGTTTAGCTTTCAGAAATTATATATTTAGTTAGCTTTGTTTTACATTATGTGGCAGGCCCTGATTTACTTATGATAAAATACATAAGTGAAATAATTCCCATTCCTCATGACGTTCAAAGCCTACTATGGAATGTAAGTGCTTAAAATTTATTATTATTTTTTGGGGGGAAACCAGGGATTGAACTCAGGACCTTGCACTTGCGAGGCAGGTGGTGGCACCACTGAGCTAGATCCCTGGCCCTTTAAAGGTTTAATTGTGATGTAGTAAGATGGAGCAAGAAGGGAGACAACTAACTTTTCTAAAGTACAGATTTTATATAAAGCATTGTTTTCAGAAGTTTTTAATGTATTTCTTTTGTTTATTAGAGTGTTAATGTATAAATATATATTTTCCCAGCATTTCATTACTATATATTGGTTATACAGATGAATGGGTTTCATTTTGGCAGATTTGTACATATGCATAACATACTTTAAACATTTCCCTGTATTACCTCTCCTTACCCCCCTTTCTTCTCTCCTTCCCGTCTTCTTGTTTATTAATAGTCTCCCTTCTACTCTCTTGTCATCTCTTTTAAATTCCACTTGGCAGGGAGAATGTGAGATGTTTCTCTTTCTGCGTCTGGCTTATTTCACTCAGCATCATGATCTCCAGAGCCATCCATTTTTCTGTAAATGACAAAATGATACACATTTTTTATCTATACCACATTTTCTTTATCCATTCATCTGTTAGTGGGCACCTTGCCTGGTTCCGTATCTTGACTATTGTGCATTTTACCATGATAAACATGGGTATACAGGAATCCCTAGGGTATGCTGACTTTTACTCCTTCAGGTGTATACCAAGGGGTGGTACAGCTGGTCAGAATGGTGATCATCAAGAATACAAATAAAATCAAATAAAATGTGCTGATGAGGGTGTACAGAAAAAGGAACCCTTCTACAAATGTAAATCATTGCAAACACTAGAAATCAATATGGAGGTTCCTCAAAAATCCTACGAAGATGTATTTTTAAGCACTATAGAACCATTTTCTAGAAAATCCTCATGAAGTACCATGTAATAACAAATGACATATTTCTCCTTACAATATTCAGCATCAACCTTTGTTTCTATCATCTGGCATTTGGACAATGGACATGTTTCCTCACACTTAGAGATTGCTTACAGAAATGACTAGTACGGTGCAGAGGCCATGATGAAAACAAATGCATTCCTAGCATTTCATGTATAATTATTATTCATAATAATATTTTCAGTGCGAAGGAAAGTCTCTAAAGATCATGAAGGAATCAAAATTTCAAATTCTGCCTAATTTAAATAAGATCCTGCATAGCAGTAAGTATATCACATACTTACTTTAATCCAATCTTTCCAAGGTCAAATTGAGGTAAAGAAAATACCCAATAAATGATGAGCTAGAAAAAGCTGAGGAATTGCGAACAATTCATTATCCCATATAAACCTAAAACATTTCCTTAAACTGAGTTGATTCTAGAATCTGTTCTTCCCACAATGTAATACATTTTCTGACTCCAACAACTGGTGCAGTTCTTAACTGTGTTCTTAATCTTACTAGTAAATTGGTTCTGTGTCCTTGAATTTGGGCAGTTGTCTTTGCCTGTTAATCCAAACAGTAGCATAACCGGCTAGATGTGAATATTTTACTTTTATTCTATTGTTACTAAATTTTCTGTTTCATAATTCTGGCATGTGAACCTTAGCAAAGTTTTTTCCAAGTATATAGGGATGATTTGTGCAAAAGTGTGAGGACAATTCAATTTTAACTCTGTGTTAGATTTAAATAAAAACACTTAAACTCTTTATTTGAATTCTTTAAATATTAGTTTTAACATCTGTAAAAGAGACTAAATTTCCTGTTATGTGAACTAAAAAGATTAAATCATTTTTATTTATTAGACACATTATTTAAGTACCCAATGAATTCATAATTAAATAGGAAATCACTGAAGGACAAAATATAAAAGGCATATGATTGACGTAATGGATGTTAAATAATCAATTGATAAATACCTATTCCTGGGTTTTCTTTCTCTTTAAAGAAAACTTTAAAGTGTTTATTAATGTCTTAGTCAAAGTTGTCATTGGTGTAACCTTCACTGAGATAAAATTCTTCAATGTTCTTAAAAAGTTATAAAATAAAAAGAAATGGTTTTAATAAAAAAAGTTTCTAAAACTCAGCCAACATCACTTATATTTGTGAAATACAATATAGTTTTGTTTAATTTAAAAGCATAATAAAAAGGCACATAAATCCTGCCTGTGCCTCATTCCCTAAAAGAGAACATGTTCCCTGCTTTCTCATTAAAGCAGGAAAAAAATTGTAATTTTCACTGGCTGTCCGTCCATTGCTGCCAAGGTAACCAAAACAGCCTTGTGTATGTATCAAGCAACTGAAAAATCTATCAATTTAAATACCCAAAGAAACTTCACACACCATTTAAGAAAATGTTAATTTAGACTAAAGGAAAGAGATTAAGCCCACTAACCAGAATAGGAGTCTCCTGTGGATTTAGAACTAAGGGATGAAACAAATTAAATATTAATAAAATTGTGATAACGGTTGCAGAGATAAAAATTGGCTTTTGTATTTTGTATTTGGTGGGGGGACGGCCTGGAAAAATTTCTGAACAAATTCCAAACTCTCCACGACATACCATTCCTAGTCTCTTAGCATCTATTCATAAATTAATTCTCATGTGGAAATGTAGCAAATTGTGACAATAACCAGGAGGGAAAAAGTCAGTCAGTAAAACAAAGGAACTCAGAAAAGTCAAGATGATCGGATCATCAGATAATGACCCTCAAGTAGCTACTTAAAACAGCAAATATAGCGCCAAGTTCAATGAAATATAAAAATTAAGCAAATGGAACTTTCAGAGACAGAAAACACAGTTTTTGGAATAAAGGATCATCAAATGTATGCACCTATATCTATACAGTATTTGGAATTATTGCAACAGCCTCAGGTTTACAGAAATGTATTTGCAAATCTATTTCTTTTGAGCCACGTGGGAATAAGTTGCAGCGGGAAGACCCGTGTCCCCACCCTGGCTTCACCCCTGAGGACAGAGGCAGGGTTTGGCACCGGCCTGTGTGTGACCTTGGGGAACCCTTGGGCCGCACTGAAGTTTTACCAGCTGCTCCTCAATGTATTTTTTTTTTTTAGCTTTAATTGAGTTTATTGGTACATTTTAGGGATACAGTACAGTTACATCCATTGTTGGGATCTTGTACCTCTACATGACAAGTCTTGATTCTCATTTTTTCCCCTTACCTCTGCCCTCCCTTCATGCCCTCCTCCCCTCCCCATCTACAAACACTTTATTTTCATCTTTTCATTCTCTCACATTTTTTTCTTTTCCCTTATTACCCTTCCCCTACCCTCAGTGTATTTTTATAGCAAATGATTTGTCATGTTTCTTTGATCATCTTAAACATGGAGCATTTTCTCAACTTTCTTTGGTCTCCGTGGCCTTGACACTTTTGAAACTTACAGATGGCTTATTTTTTAGAATATCCCACAAATTAGGTTTGTCTGGTTTTTCTCTTGATTGGAGTCCAGTTGCTTACTCAGCGTGGTGACCAGAGCGCATCCTAGCGGATGGAGCGTGATTTTGGTTTGTATGGATGTGGTCAGTTCATTAAGGTGCTGTCTGTTGGGCTTTCCACTGGAATATTCCTTTTTTTTTTTCCTGTGTCATTGGTAAATGTTCTCCAAAGCAGTTCCTTGATACTCTGTATGTTTCTTCTTCCTCATTCAAAGTTTAAGTGTAGCTATATCAGAACCCATCTGTTTTATTCAGTGTTGTTCCATTATCCTTATTTTCATGCTTACAGTGGTCTCCCTGCCTGCCTGCCTCCTCCCTTCCTTCTTTACTTCATGCTTTCATTCTTCCTTCCTCCTTTTCTCCTCCCTTCTTCCTTTTTCCTTCTCCCTCTTTTCCCCATCCTTCCTTCCTTCCTTCCTTCCTTTTCTCTTCATCCCCCTCCCCACTCCTCCTACTTCTTGTTCTTCTC